GAATTAGATGTCGTTTTACTCTGTCAGTGCTTTAACAATGAAATCACTCCTTCATTACTATTAGCAGTTACTATCTCGCAACCCGGGTATCGGACGCATTTCCAAAAAGACCTAGGATCTCAATGGAGAATACGTTCTGTAATTTTCATATCAGGATGTCAAAAGTATATCAATATTTAGTACTCCGGCTCAAACTAAACTTTTTTTTATTCAGGAAATCTGAGGAAACTGATTCATCTGACGTCTTTTTTTCTTTAAGTCACTTTCTCATATGAAAATCATTAAATCAAAGTACCAGTATATCTTACTCAACATAATGTAATAACGTTCGATTTTCAATATGTCATACGTTTCAAGTAGAGAATTACTTAGAAGTTAAATTAAGTTATTATTTACCTTAGTACTATGTTGCTCTCAATAATCACAAAATTTGATAAGTTTATAACTCTTAAGAATCACACTATCATTTTTCTTTAAATAGGATATTCCAATTTATCTTTGTTTGCATTTTTGTAATATGTATTAAAATTTTCTATGTATTTACAGATCATTGACAGTTTCAAAAATACACCACTACAATTGTCGAAACTTCTTGTATGAAGTTCATTAGCATTATTTCAGTTACAACAATATTTTAGTTAGTTCATTATATCCACAACATGTTTCTAGCGAATTTACACTAAATGGGTGATGAAAAAGTCAAGCTCTCCGATTTTAGAGGTAATATAACAGTTAATGCAAACGAAAACCGTCTTAGATGAGATAGTCAACATCAACTTCATTTTTTTAATATTGCAAATTGACATTAATGATACCGTGTTTGTATCACCTAGATGTCTCCTTACATCCGAACTCTTAAAAGTCAGTAAAATATTAATTAAAACAAACCTTCATATTTTTATTCATACCAAGATTACATGCAGTAAACGACTAATGCTGGCCGCTTATTCGACATCGTTAAATAATAATAGCTATAGATATGTGAAATGTGATACAAATCGTGTGTATTGAATTATTATTAATCTAAGTAAACTAATCCTTCTCGCAGGTACACCAAATAAACTCAACCATTCGTGAATCTCGAGTTCTAAACATAGTATAAAAAAGTTAAGAATAGTATTAAACATTGGTCGTTGGTAATTTATACTTCGCTCACTATCAATTATTTTACACAACCAATAGTAATAAAACGACAATTGTATTCAGTGTAACATTTATTCACAGGTATTTACACGTATTTCATATCCGCAGTATTTACCTAACAACATAAACTAGTAGAATACTTGCTACATTGCATACCACTGTAAGGTTACTTCAGTTGATTGTGAAAAATTATTAGGAACCAGTGGATACTAGATTTATTGTTTTAGAAAAATCACACAGCAAGTAGTTCCTTTACGAATATAAACAATGCGATACCATAACTTACTTTTTTTTGGATGTGCAATGAGTTTTACATCCAATACACGCGATTGTTTGTTGTTACACGTTATTTAATATTTATAAATTAAATTATTGACAATAGTTGCTGTTTAAGTTGGCTTCAAAGTTTTTTGAATATTTCGATATATCTACAGACAGAAAGATGTTTTACTCATTCTGTTTGGAATATTTTAAAACGTTATCAAATTCATTCGTTAAACAAGCAATTCACGCCATTGAATTTCAGCGCACATTGCCCTTAAGATTAGGCAAAAAATTGAATTGTATTATTTAGAACATTTGCTTTAGCATCCATTCGTAAATCATTACATTCTCATTACGGTATTTTAATAATAATAATAATAATAATAATAATAATAATAATAATAATAATAATAATAATAATAATATAACAATTATATCTCATGAGCTAAAGGTAAAGTAACTGCAAGAAATAATCCTTTCTAAAATATACTTTTTTAATTATTTGACGATTTTCTTAAAATCTCCTTAAGTCTACTGTTTGTACTTAGTAAATTTATTAACTTGCGGAATTCTCTCATTACAAAACTTCTTCAAAAGTTTTACGAGAGAAACAGAGGAGATTAATGTATCCCGACTTCAACGAGATAAGAATGTTTCATAAGCGGAAATTCTTACCACCCCCCACAACTGAAGAGAAAATTCATCTTCATTGATCTCAAATCTATCTTCATCAAAAGTTTATCTTTATCAAATTTCCATTGATAGCTATCAACTATGAATTAATTTTGTATGGTGATTAATATATGGTACAAGATATAGTAATACGACATTACCCTCATATTTATAACAATCATCAATTACACAGGAAACTGAAAGAATTTTATCTCTAGAGTAAAAGTGAATTAATTTTATTTCCATCTATCCCCTTCAGTCTCACGTCACGCCGCATTTTAAAACTCGTTCCAGTTAGGGCGATTCTTCGTTGGAGGAAGATACCTTGTTTGGGAAAACCCCGCAAACCGACGAGTACGTCAGCGCTAGTTCTCACCATCTGGCCGTGAAATATGACCGCCACCTCCTGATGAAAAAACATGCCCTTAACCGATGACGCGCTCACCAACACAAAATAAGCGATCACTCAATCGTCCCGTCTCGCATTTCCCACCAAATTCTGTTTTCGTAGCTTCGCCCTATCCCTCAATGCAGGAAGAGGCTGCTTTCCCTGTCGTCTTGCCTCGCCTGGCCCCGGCGCGAACGTGCCCCTTCCTGCACCGCGGGAACACAATCCCTTAATACACGAATGCGTTGTGGGGTTGCATTCATCAAAATTTTGGAAAAAGAATTCGTGTTGGTGCAGAAATATATCATCAGAAAATAAGTTGATGTATTGTTTGAATTAAAGAGAAAGTTATGAATAAATTTCCATTGAAACACTATTGTGTTGAATGTTTAATTAATAAGGTTTTATTAAGAAATTAGTTTTTTATGTAGCAAATGCTGATATATTGTTTTAAAACATATCTATAAATAAAGGGATCAATATTAGAACATACCGACGCATTGCATTGTTCCAAATTTAAGGAGTTTTAAACAAAGTTCGGAGCATAGGCAGAAGAGTTTATCTATTAGACTGCATCTCGTCTTAGAACGCAAGTATTTAAAATGTATTTCGTTAAGAGGATTGTAGAGTGTTTGACACACGTCTACATTTCTCTCAACACAGAGTTAATTTGCAATAATTAATGTGTCTTACTTTTGAATTAATTAATATAACTTTACAAGAAGTTAGTAATACGCGTAAAGATCTCTTTACCAAATTATAAAGGAAATAAATTTTGATCGAATTTCTTTTATCACCGGCATGTTGTAAAGAAGGCTTAAACTTGAAGTAGCTGAGAGAAGATATTTTTTGGACCGAAGTATGGAGTAGCATTTCGAATAGCGAACCCCAATATTCTCTTCAGTCCTCTCATATGAATATTTGTGCAATTATATGATATATCGTGTATGAAATAACATACGATTAATTGAAGTTCAGAGTCTCAGAACTAGTGGAAAGTGTAATCAGTTTTCAAGTTGTTAAGTTGGCAATGAACTATTTTTGGCAATATTATAACAAATTGTTTAAATACATATTATAAGGCACATTTCAAAGAAAAATTCACAGTGAATAACTTTTATTAACATTTTGTACATTTTTACAATAATATTATTTCTTTTTAAAAGATACATGAGCCTTGATAAACACCGCAAAGCTACTGAAGTGACTCTGCATTCACATACAAACGTTACTTGCCAAGAGTCTATTACTCCAATGATTACAAACGGTATATAAGAATCATTTTCACAAATACATTGTAAGTACGATGTCAAAACACATTAGTATATTGACATTTATTCTTATTGCATGGCATATTGCTAACAACTCTACAGATAATATTAACACACTGTCAACTAAATGCAATGTAAAACTACATCACGTTATCTCCCATCAGTACAAGTGAGGGTCCATTCTTGTATTGTTCTGAAATTCGCGGAACTGTTTTCAATACCAGTGTGATACGCCGCGAACATTTGCAACGGAGAGAGGGGGAGGGGTTGCCTTCATACCACGCATTTGCATACGTTCGCGGGTCGTGCATATTCATGGGGGGCACAGAAAGACACTGAATGGGCGCGGTCCCTCGGCAACCGACGCTGTTCATTCTGTGGCGAAGAGGAACCGCCGGCTCAGAATGCCCTGGCCATCGCCGCGCCGCGATACACGCTAGTTCATGTTGAAAAAGGAAGAAAAAATGGAAACAGTAAAAAATGTTCATATACATTCATATGCATTGTGTTTCTACCAGTATTAGACTTCGAATGTCAAATGGGATGACACCAAACTTCGATAATTTAAAATGATCGATTGATACTCATGTTTTCTTGCTTGCTGAATTAATTTTTTTAATATTTTCATTTAAATATATTATATATGTGGCGAGTTGACGAATTAATTGTGAAATATTTATGTAAATTAGAAGTATTAAAATGCCACTATCGTTATGCAGTCTCGTACTATTTTTGAATTTAGGAAATTACTTCATTTTATGTAACAGAGTTTATTTAAAATATTGTCTTTCCCTTCAAAACGAAAACACTACTACTTTTGCATCTGATACTACAAACATTACGTTCATTGACTGAGGGATCATATATAAGCGCATGACCAAAGAAGAGAATGTTTTAACTGTCGTATCTATTCTTCTATAATTAGACATTTTCATGCAAACTGGCGGTAGTAAATACATTTTTACAAAACATTTTTTCTTGTTTTAATATTTGTTACAAATTATGGCAAAAAGTCACTAGAAGGACACGCAAAAGTGTGAAATAGGCACAGCGACAGCTTCTCTAGAGCCTGATTCAGAGAAGAAGAAGAAGAAGAAGAAGAAGAAGAAGAAGAAAGATGACGAATTCTCTGAGAATGTAAAACTAGGGTGGACTGAATTGGAGACTGGTAAGAACGGGGCCGAAATGTTGCAGCCGTGGAATTTTGTCCGCGTGCGTTACACACGGCCCACTGCCAGGCGGGGGGGGGGGGGCAGCGGGGATCACTCGGCGGGCGCGCCGGGGAAGTCGGAGCCGCGCAGCTTGTCCGCCGTCCAGGCGTCGAAGCGCGCCACGTAGTGCGGCGGCATGCTGCTCTTCCAGCCGCCGGCCTCCCCCTTGCGGATGAACTTGAGGTTGGGGTCCTGGCGGTTGTTGCGCTCCTGGCTGGCGAAGCGCTCGTTGTTCACGGCGGGGTTGTCGCGCATGCTGGCGAAGCTGAGGTGCGTGGCCAGGGCGGTCACCTGCTCCTCGGACAGCGGCTGCTCCAGGAAGTTGGCCGTGCGGCGGATCACCCCGGGCAAGTCCTGCAACAGCGGCCATTTCAATTAGCGTACGTCTTCCTCACTCTTATTCTCGACCTTGCTGGCTTAGGTACCTCAGGACACCAATGTTGATGTCTTGCAGTACCTCTGACCGGGAGGTCCTAGGGTTCGACTCCCGAAGATGGCAGGATTTTCGATACTAGCTACACAGCTTGGACGAATTCAGCCGCACTGTGGAGAAGAATTCTATAGACTGGCTGATCTGATAGGTACTTTGCAATGGTTTTTCCGATCAACAGCAGGCAACTGAAGCAGTACGCTAACAAATAGGTCACGGACCACCAACGATCTTTCCACCATTTTGCTTGTCCTATTCTCGCCCCTTATATATACACACACTTAATGCACTACTCTACCCCACTGCCAGGAGACCAGTTGGGAGGTTAGAGCTTGTCTCTGCTGGTGGAGATACTTGGTTGAAAAAAATAACAACCACAAGCCGACGAGTACGTCGGCGCTGGATGTTGCCATCCAGCGACACAAGTTCACCGCCACATCTCGCGACAAAATACACTACATTTACGGGAATTATGACCTTAGCTGCTGCTGCTGCTGCTACTGCTGCCGCGCCCCGCATCACGAATCAATCAATCAATCCGCGCTCTTGTCGTCGCTTTTGTTCACGTCGCTCTTGTCTATGTTCTCTTTGTCGAATTCCTCGTCCTCCTCGTCCATCTTGTCGCTCTCGTTCTGATCATCGCCTTCCCGTCGTCCTTGTTCTCCTTGTCGTCCTAATCATCGTTGTTGTCATCATGTAGAGAGTTCTTACAAATGTCGCAGTTCTGAATACGATCCTGGTTATACCGACTTTTCTCTTTAATATTCGATACTGTAAAATCGAATCATTCATGATATTATATTGTCTTAAAAATATAATTATTGAAGGTCCTTCATTGAAATTGAATCCTTCATACGTTATTCATATTAATTAAATGAGCTGTTTGTGTAAGAATTATCATTCTTTGACATCAATGATTTCGACATGAATATACGAGTTCGCTTCATTTGAAAACGTAATCTACAAAACATTACATTGGCATTGTATTCTGATCTCTCTGAATCATCGTAGCAAAGATTGGCTTTCCGTGTTACATGCCGATCGCTGAATCCATTAAAATTTCTGTTAACATTCAATGAAGCAAATTATTATGTTCACGGATAATTATAGAATTTCATATGTATAGTTTTTATTGAGACAGCGAAAGTTTTCAACGATTCCTTATACATAAAAGCCAAATGCTAATAAGTTCTAATGGGAAATATTATATTCCGTTCCATTAACATCTACGTACTGATTCGATACATCAGCTTGTTAAGTAAGTATCATACCGAGATTCCATAAAATTCTTTTAGTAAGTATTATTCTATATGAGGCTTTAATACAAATTATTTAAACGTGTGCAAAGTCAGATTTCTAAAAACAATGTGTATCAGCAAGATAAAGGTCAAACTGAAGTTTCACCTTTTCACAACTGTAGTATTTCTTTCATTTTTTAAAACAACTTTGAAGCATTACTCTTTACCTATTTAGTGTTCGTAAACAATATCAACTCCTAAGTAATATAATTGTTTTTGTTACTGCTTCCATGCGTAGATTGCAAGAATGTATGCTACAGAGAAAAGACATGTACGACTGAAAAGCACGCTGGGTCGGTATATAAAGAGACACATTACGGAGAAACATGGCCTTCTCTTGAACTCGGGAGAAGCCGTGTCACGTCGCTGTGCTATTTTCACAGGACCAGCGTGGATCAAGAAACCCAAGACCCCAGCTTCCTATAATACGCCAACGTGATATGGACGGCTTCGAGTCTTTTTGCTTGTCTCTTTCCTGGCATGCGTTCTGCTATAGCATCTTTAGATCGCATTAAACTGCGTAAGATAGTTTCTAGAAATACCCATGATGGTCGAATAGCCATTTGTGGAATTGGTTTTTGTATCGTCTCTCCTACGTGTTATTGATTATTTCGTTCCCGGACGCGTCAACTGCCTTGGCCATAAGTCCCGTACGAATAGTGAAAGTTTTTATCACAAAATTTTATCGGGAGGTGGCGGTGTTTATTCCCACTGTATGGTGAGATCTTGCGCCGACCCACACGTTGACTTGCGGATTCTCCCCCTCAATATATCTACCTCAAGCGGGACACGCCCCAGCTAGGACGAGATATCAGCTCCCGTCTGGTCTCTAGTGTATGTAAGTGTGTGTGTTTGTGTGTGTGTGTGTGTGTGTGTGTAAGTAAGGGGTGACAAGCTAGGGCAAGTAAGAGGCAAGAAAGACAGCGCTCGGTCCCGTTTGTTAGGGTACTACTCCAGGATCCACCATTGGTCGGAGAAATCACGGAAACTACTGATAACAGCAGCCGGCCGCCAGAATTCTCCTCGCGGCAGCGAATGTATTCAACCTCGCTATCCAGCAACGGTCAAAAATCCTGGACTGAAAAACCAGACTCTCTGCACCCCCAGGACCACCAGGACTGAAAAACTAGAATCTCCCGGGCAGAAGCACTGCTGTGACATCAGTTTATGCCCTGAGTCGCCTCTGCCGGTCCCTCGTGCATGTGAAATATCAGGCACGCTGTACCGGATCGTCCTCTTTAACTCAGCTTCTACGCTGATGCAGGAGAGCGCCTAAGCTCTATTTCGCTGAACATAGTGTCGATAATGGTCCGTAACATACAATTCACGACACAGGCTAACACATCGTTGACGAGCTCATAAACCAAAGCCCCGCCTTTCACACACCCATAAGCCGGCTTTTGTGCCCGAACACACAAAAATATGAATGAAATGATAGGTTCCACAGGTTCACTGGTAATGAGGTTTCACATTTTTCCCCTCTATAGGATAAAGTGAAAGTGATCAAAATCACTACCTCTACTCTACATCATCTTCTCGTGCATGAATATATAGTACTGTAACGATGTAATTTTAGTGGAAAAGTAAAATATAAAGGAACGTGTGTTATAAATTGAAAATAAGGGAGGCCATTACCATGTTAAGTATGTTTCCTTTTGCCCCATAAAATGCACAATAAATAAGCTCCTAAATCTTCCCTTTGGACTTAATTTGCATTTATACCTTTTAGCTGAAATTGCTAGGGACGAAAAAGTTAGCTCCCTGGTGCGGACCTGGGTTCTCTGTGAAGGTTGATGAGCAAAGCAGCTGGTGGAGGGCAGTAAAGCGAATGAATACATTTAAATAACAAAGCAGACACGGTTCAGTTGGTCATTTTCGGCAATCCGAAACATCTGTCTACTCTTTCTGCGTTATATTAAAATAATTTCAACTTTTTCCGCAACTAGCAACACTACATGGAAGAATGTGCGTTATGAGTATTGCATTTATTGTAAATATTTTTCACAATTTTTTATAAACCAAAGTATTTGCGATGGAATATAAATGGGTGAAAAAAGTTGTTTCAATATCTTGTTCGTCTAATACATTCGTATATGTTTTGTATGTTCGTTATGTTCGTATATGTTTAAGATAATGCACCAGTAGTGTTACATACCAAATATTTTTTAATGTTTACAATGTGTTGTTTGCACTATGTGGAGCTTATATGAGGGTAATGATTTGGAATATTAAACTATTCAACTGAAAGCTCAATAATAATATTAATGATGATAATAATAATAATAATAATAATAATAATAATAATAATAATAATAATAATAATAAGAATAAGAAGAAGAAGAAGAAGAAGAAGAATACATATACTAATTATTCAATTATTTTATTGAAATTCCACTTAGTGTTTGAACTCTTTTATTATTTTGAATATTGCATATTAAAATATTCCAACGATACATTACTACATATATAATTAATATTCGATAAGGTATGTCATACATTTCATCAAACATTTAATAATGAAAAAGTGAAATGAATATGATTATGCAGATGAATATGAACCGCTGATTCGATCTACATTGCTAACAAAACAGTAACACACCCATACCTCTACTCCTACCACTACAAGCCAAAGGAGAGTTCAACAAAATTTCCGCACAGTGAAACTATATTTACGTCCAGAAGCAAAACAAGTGGCCATCTCAGCATTTGTTCAATGTATCAGGGAAACTGGACAAAAACCTGATCGATATGGGGGCCATTGTTCCGGAAGCTGAAGTACATTATTTGTAATAAGCATATTATGTCTTATTAAAAAATATACAATTTAAATGTACAGTAATTCATTCTATATCACTGTTTTGTTAAAACAAACCTTATTTTTCTTTCTGATGATCAGTATAGTCTCTAATTGTGTAGAAACAGTTACGCAGTGGGAAAGATTTTACTTTTAACTTAAATTTGTGTACCGACGTCAATTGTTAAATGTCATCTGGTAATGCGTTGTAATGTAACGTACATGTATTTTTAAGTGGATTTCTGGTAGCGAGCTGTTGGTACTGATACTTGACGAACCTGATTTCTATAACGTGTTGTAATTATAAATATCAGTATTGCATGAAAATATGTTCCCACCCTTAAGTAAGTGGGTTTTGACAAATATTACAGATTCGCAAATAAATACCCAAGGCAATGGTAAGATTCCAAACTCAATGAAGAGAGGCTTTCAGTGACCACGTGGATGGCATTTTTTCAATATTCGAATAATTTTCTTTTGGAATCTAAAGGTAGGGGTAATACATGATAGAAGTAAAGTGATTGGTTGAAAATATTTTTTTTAAAATAGGCTTTAATGGCAAAACAATACACACGATGAAATGGTCAAGTGTGCAATATCCACCAGCGTGGATAGCTGTTTATATTATCGCCGTATTCATACGTACGTAGTAAAGGGAAAGTATTATAGTACCGCAGGAAAAATCGTCATTATTTCTGCAAAAGCTACAATATTGAAGATAGAGAGTTTATTCTTGATAAAATTTGTTTTCTAAAGACAGAATTGTAAATAAGATCATGTTTAAGTTATCGAAAAATATGAGTAGTTTCCGCAGTTTTCTTTATGCTGTCGA